ATTTCACCCAAAATTTCTCATATCACTCAAAAAATTTAGAGAAGCTGTATATCACAAGACTGGAAAGCCGCATAAGACTTTACAAAATCAGGAGCTCAGTGGATACAATTACTCCATTTAAGAGGATCAGAGGTGCTGGCCAACATGAGCTCATCACACAGATTCCAAAGAGCAGGATCCTTCTGTCTATGAGCAGCAGAAAATACAACCATGACATATTAAGCATTTCTTACAAGTGGCATCTCAGATTCAAGAATCTGATGATATTGCAGTCTCCTGTTTCTTCTACCATTATTGCAGCTTATCCATGGCATAAAGCATACAGCTAGATCGGGTCACTTCTGATCACAGGCACAGAGTAAAGCAAATGCACAATCGGCTCAGTCTATCTAAACAAATGTAGTCACATGTGCAGTACAGAGTCCCATTCCTTGGCAATACAGGTGACCCTGCATGGACCTAGAAAAATGGGATTCTCCCTTGTTACACATGCATGAAATATATGAACCCACTGACACACAAACATCATTAAAGGCCCTTAAAAGACCTTAACTTCTTGATCTGTGAACTAAAATGTCAACCTTATGGTTGTTATTTTTATATGCTCTTTAATAATAATTTTAAACAAGTTTTAATAAGCATTTTGATGAAAGTCAATTGTTTGTTTGAATGCCTGATCCTGAAGACAGTGTCTGAATAAGTGTTCTTCCAGCTTAAAACAGACATCTACCACTGAACAAGCATCAAGTTTCTGCCTCACTGGTGACTGGCTTAGTTTGTAAAGTCATAGCTGACAGAACACAAGACATTTGAATGGAAATCTCATTTCATCCATAAGTACAATAAAAACCAGCTAGTGGGCAAAACCATCCTGGCATAGACCTGTACAATCTGGACAATGGAGCATCCAGCCCAGTCTTGAAGCAGCAATTGAATGAACAATTGTCCTTACTCAGGAGGAATTGGTTCCAACAGAAAACTGAACTGTGCATCTGAAAGCATAGGGGTTACCTCCTATGCTACAGAGGAAATGGTCTCCTCTGCCAGAACCAATCTCATATCTGTCCTGTTAGATCCCAGCTTTTCACAGACTTTCCACCTAAACTTCCACACAAAGGCCAGGCCTGGTTACTCTCAGATCAGGTACAGAGTTTTTGGTGCTGCCTCCTCAGTGCCTGTAAACTGAAACAGCTCAACAGGAGCAGTGATTTTCAACAATCTGAGTTATTAACCCCAGGCTCTTTCAAATAAATGTACCAAACCCCTGAAGTGTTTAAACCTGACACTAATAGGTTTGCTTTTCTTTCTTATTAATCTCTGATCCTGACAAGTAATCCATGAATCCTCATAGATCTGACAAAGTGACATGACTGCTGGATGAATGCACCTTGCATGGCTAAAAACTGCTAAAAACTTTTCATGTAGGCTCACTACTTTCAATGGAACCTTGTGCAGAGAGACTTCCTTTGCTGAAAACATCTGGCAGGTAAGGAAGCGAGCAGAATTATCTTCACTACAGCCAGTTTGGACACAGATTCAATAAAAACTAAATTCTTCACCTCACTCAAAAAGCTGGTATTAAAAAGAGTATTTCCAGAAGGATACTGAAGCAGAATGGAGAATATATTTCTACAATAGTCAGTCAAAATCCTGGAAAGTGCCTTCTAATGAGCACTCAAACCTAGACTGTGTAACTTGCCCAAAAGATTTTAGAAAAGGCAACTCATTAATGGCAACTCTCTTCACTGGGGCAGAGAGATGATGCACAGAGGCTCCTCATGCTTGTACAGAAAGGTGCAGTCGATTCACTAGCAAGTGGGAGCTGAAGAAGGTTCACAGCTCACAAAGAACTCATATTAAACAGGGAGGACTGAATAGGAGAACAGCTAGAAGAGAAATAAGGTGTTAGCCCAGGCCTACCTTCTGAGGTTTGCAAACCAAGGTAAGAAGCCTTTCTTCTGAAAAATACTTTGATCAAACACAAGTTCTGCTTTAGCCAAACAAAGTTATTATGCTCAATACTGGGTAGGGAGACAAAGTTTAGGCCAGAGCTGCTGGTCCACTCTGCAGCTGAGCCTTAGTTAAGCAACAAGTCTCAGAAACAGGTTCAAAGTGGTTCTTTCAAAAGGAAGACAGCTGAAAACAGGGGCTTTGGACCAAATTACCATCTCCTCGTTAAAAGGACTGTTGCTACCACAACACTAACACAAACACCACATTTCATACCAGGGCTGTGAACACCTGCATCTATTCGTCTCCCAGCTTTTGCCATATTAAACAGGCTTCACTTAAAAGCTGATTCCCTAATGTTCCCTCACGAGGGAGGAGGAATGGAGTCTGGCTAACACGAGATGCTGTCACAGCTCATACATAGATACTAGAGCCAAGCTACCATAAATATTGTGAGGAAGAGCTTTGCTTTTCTGAAAAGAGTAACCAAAAGCCGGCTCACTCTAGTTGCTTCTTGGATAAAGAAAGGATGGCACTTACAAGAAAAGAAACACCTGTCCCAAGCACCCTTCCTTCTTTCCATAATCCCACATACACCAAACAGTACTAGGAAGACAACAACTCAGTAAAAGTCACTAGTCTCAGTAGAAACAGCTATGGCACTACTTTTAAAATAACAATAACGTTATACTGAGGAGGTTTGTTGTGGTTTGGGATTGGATTTTTTTCATTACAATCTTTTAATTCTAAATCACTGGAAACACTTGCTAACAGCCCCCAGGATAGTTATTTTATATTAACAGCACATTATAGTTTGCATTTCAGTCATCAAATTGGATGCAATAATCATGCAAACATCCATATTAAAATCTCTCCCCCTTGATTAGGAAAGACTACTTGTTCCTCCCCAATGGACTCTGCTGTTCCCAGATGTCACTAACAGTTTCGTCACAGCAGTCACTACAATACCATCCTGCTTGTGGATTAAAAGGTTAAATGATCTGAGTACACAAAGGCTTCTTGGAAACAGTGATTTCTCAGAATCTGCTCTGACTTGCACCCACTGCAGCAGGTGAGAAGTGGGAAAGAAACAAATGAAATCTAAGGCTTGTGTTTTGAAAACAAAATATCATGACAGATCTTCAGTATGACCATCAAACCTGTTGAGACCCCAAAGCCATCTTGCCTGCCCTTCCAAGAATCACGCAACTTCTCTGCTCAGACTAACCTACAATGTGAGTTTTACTGCACAGTTATTTCAAATAATCAGACTGAACATCCATGTTTAGTCCAACCTGAGCAGACAGCCCTATACCCAGGCTTGTCAAGAATCTGCACAAGAAACAGAATTAACTGTAGAAAAAACTCCCATATTTTGGAACAGCCACCTCAACTCACTACTTCTTTCTGCTTCTACCAATAAATCTCATTCCTGAGCTGTTCACTCATCTCTCTGTGCTCCAGGCTGTACCAAAGCAATCTAGGTTACAGCATGTTCCCTGCAAGTCCACCTGAAGTCCTTCTCCTACCATCTTGCACAAATAACCAGAAAAACAAGTGGAAAAGCATCAACAAGGAAAATTCTCAAGACTGACCTTTCTGAATCCTAAAGCCAAAACAAGAACTGTCTCCTCACCATGTATTTCCACTCCCTATCTGGTCTCTGACCTGTCATTTGCCTCTGAAAGCTCCCCATTCCCATTCCCTGGCCCTCATCCCACACCTACAGTCTGTTTCCAAACATGTTTATCTACACCTCATTATCACTGACCAGGAGACAGTTGCCTCTGTCCCTGTCTCTCCTCAAGTCTCCTCCTGCCTTCTCTCCCTTCCTGCCACTTCTCTGTGGTCTCCCTGGACCCACCTCTCCCAAGTCTGGCTCTTGCACCACTGCCTGTGGGATATACAGCCCTGGGATCACGACCATGTTTCCTCAGGTCCATTTCATCTGCTTCTCCTAACAGGATAAACAACTCCATCTGTACACTCCTGCCTTTTGTACTCTAACAACTGCTGAGAAGCAGGAAAAAGATGTCAGAAGTAGCTGTCCCTGCTCAGCACAAGTACCCCACATGTATTGGATCAACCACTGCTGAGGTAACAGTGTCAGTGATATGGGGCAGGACAGTGTCCTGGATTCCCTGGCAGAGAATGCTCTGCCATGGCCTTTGTATGCAAGCCAACCCTGCTGGGAGTCACTACAAAAGAGCTGTCTATTGCTATAGCCAGATCAACAATCTTTCCACTTCTGCTGCCACCCCCGGGATTTGATTTGGTGCTAAAAAAACAGCCTCTATTTTCAGAATGCCTCCCTATGCTGCACCCACACACATTTCCCAAGGCAGAGAAGTCCCTGGAGCAGAAGTGATACAGCAAACACCTCATCTCCCAACTTCCCAGCCCACATGCTATTCTATATAGGAAGATGTTGTCACACTTAGAGCACTGATGAATCCTTAGCCATAGCCCATCTCTCAAGTGAGAAAAGTTTGACCCCAGAGAAGCACAAAAGACTCCCTTCAACACCCAGCGTTTAACAACACCCAAGAATAAACCTCCCCCTGCACACTCACAAAATTCAAAGCAGCACAAACAGCTTCTTCATCTCCTACCAGCAAATTCTTTTCATTAAAGAGGCCCTTAAAACTGGCAGTCTCCCTGCTGGACCCCAGCAAAATGTTCCTTGTACCTTGGGTCTTTGTATTGCCTGCTCCTCACAAGACCTCCCACTTTGGTGCATCTCATGAGCTGCGTGTTGCACTCCAGGCCACAGCGAACTGGAAACAAGAGTGCAATGCACAGGGCCCAGATCTGAGGTTGCCAGAACATATTGGTTTGAAACATCACAGAAAATATTCGGCTCCATATTTTCAACAGTAGCCAGGAAGAAAATGCATGGAACAGTTTTGAGAACTGTTTTTCAAAAGTCATTTAAATCAAATTATGCCCCATCCACACCGGCAGCAAAACCCTCTCTACTAACTGGAACTGGTTCTTTTCTTGTGTGTGTGTTCTTTTCTTTTTGGTTTGACTTTTCTTTTTTTTTTTCAAAAACTGTCACCCAGCCATCTTTTTTCTGGTAATGTGCACCAGCACTGCAACACTACAAAAATGGGTGCCAGGACAAAACCTATGATGCACAGTCCCTAGAATAAATCACTCAAGAGGGGTGGATTAGAAGAAGAAAGCAACCTAAGGTTACATCTTCAAAGGTATGATTCTCTGAAATCCCAGCATTTCCAGCAAATTACTGCAAAAAGACATCCAGTTTGCATCTGATGTAAAGAAGCAGACAGGCTTTTGGATCATTTACAACTTCAAGACAATACCATGAATCAATACATATTTTAAAAGATGCAATAATTACACAGAGTTTGCATGTAATCAGGAAAGAATCTACTTGTGCTGAGTGCGTATCATTTGAAAGCTGCAATGCCAAGCAAATCCACACCGTTGGCTTGCACAAACCAAAGTATTATCCATTACTGCCTTTTTTTTTTAAACAATACAAGCATGTATGAAAAACATATTTCCTGGAAACAATGATACTCTTTGAAGATTTATTCAACATTTCACAAACCAAACAAGCCTGTACCCGCACGTGCCCGTAAGAAGAAAGTGGGCTGACAATGCAAACTAATCAAAAAGTACTGGAAGGGCTATCCAAGATATTTGCATACCTATACTTCCCAAGGGTTTGAAGTTTTCTTCAGAACTGTATAAAAATTATTTCCCATGTGTCTAAGAAAATCTCTTACTGATCAACACTTTACCTCATCAAGGCAGGAAACAAACAAATCAACCAAGCATCTACATGCTGGGGCTGATACCTTAAGCCCCTCACTTGCAGGTTTAGCTCCTTTTGATCGGGCTCTAAGTGCCAGCTCCCAGGGGTCTCAGCCCCACGCATGTTGTGACACACTTTCAAAGCCCAGAATGGGACACCTCGGACAAAACACATACTGTTCAGGAAGTGCACAGGGGCCAAGAAAAGCAATAAAAATTTCCACAGCTAACTTGCATTACTGGATGCCAGTAAGCCTCTTATTATGAAAACCCATAATTGGAAACTGTCATATTACAGAACAATTTATGGAAGTTTTCGGACTACGTATGCCCCAGTGGGAACTTCCTTTGACTGGTGTGTTCCATCAGCCCAGGTCTGCATATTTATTCACACAGTGGGATAAGAGCATCAGGAACCTAAACAAGTCATTGCTGAAGCGTCACCGAGACTCCCACTTTAGAAGTGCTTCAAATAGTTTTTCGTTTCTTAGCCTTTCCATCCTCATGGGTGCATTCAGTCAACTGCTAGACTGCCCTGTCTTTTATTTCTTTTCATCTTCTACAGGAACATTCTTGCATTTGTTTTGTGTTCCACTGCTCCTCTGAGGATATGGAAGGCAAAATGCAGCTGCTCTGGGCTGAGTGCATCCCACTAATGCCTGTCTCAACCCCGTCAAAAGAGCTTGCCAAAATTAGTTCCTACTCCTATGGTCTCTACCTTGTCACACTAGGGAAACTGGCATCTACATTAATTTCTACACCAGATTTCAGCTGCATTAAAATATGGCTCCAGCCAAGAACAACAGCCTCCCCCAATGCCAGTACAATAATGTTTAAGTCACCCACACAAAACCACCCAGTGCTTCCTTTGCAAATAGTCATGGCTTGGTGTGAAGGTAAGGAGATCTGGTAACAAGTGATGGAGACATATTCCAGGAAACTTTTAGCAACAGAAGCTGGAAATCCATTTCAACACTAAATTTTCCATGCAGGAACCAGCAGGTACCATCTGACAGAGTGGTTCTAACTATGAGCGGCTCCATCCTCTAGGAGATGGACTGAGCCATAACTATACCTGTGTTTTGTCATGCTGTACTGCTCCCATTTCCAGTCAAGACCATTAGCAATCCAGTACCTTCCCCATCACCCCAGGACAGGCTGGAAAAGATTTGTGCTCAGGGGAAGCTGTAGCAGAACAGAGGCAGCCAGGCTGAAGAGGACCACCTGCAGACAAAAGGAACTGCAGGAGATAATCCCTGCAAGCACGGTATGTGGAGAAAAAGAAAAACAGATGATTCACTGGGGATTAAAAGAGAACAGCTTCCTCAACTATTGAGACCTTTCTGTATCCCTGTAAAGTAGTATCTGAAGAAAAGACAAGCTGTGAGGCAAATGTATTCTTTCACTTGACTTGGTATCAGCAAATTCTGACACTGGACAGAATCTCACTTCAACACAGAGCACCAAGGGACCGTGGAAGAGAAGAGGGAGATGACAGCAGCACCATTTTGCTCAAAGATTCCTGCAAATACACAGGCTGGGTTATAACACTGGGAAGGCTCACCTGTGAGCTAAAACTGCTACAAGTCCATTTATTGGGGCAAGGAGTCCTTGAATGCCTAGCTATAAAGTGCAGGTGGCACTGATTTCATATTAAATCACCATTACTGGCAGGAAATCCCAGGCTTCCATATCTATCTTAGACTTGTTCAACAAGTTCCTTATAAAGTACCTAAGGAAAGTAATCCTGCTCAAGGGAAATAATCCTGCTCTCAGTTGCCCATGACTTTTGGAAACTCACTCAAGCCTTGTTGCCCAGTTTGCAGCACTTGACACTGTGCTAGGCAGACCTGCACACTCTGCCTTGAAGATGTTACACCAGCATTCCACACAGCTGGCAAGACAAAGTCCAAGTGTGAACAGAAGGCTGAAAATAGCAAAGCATGCACATGTGGTAAGGCAACAAACACAAATATCTGAACAATTTTCATATATTAAGTATTTATTAAGTCACTCTGCTCCACAGGTATTAAAGAAGAGCATGCCAAAAAAACCCACATTAGGCAGTGTGGGGAGGCAGGTGTCCCAGGAAAAAGTGAGGGCATATTTCCCCACTCAGAGAATGGAGATGACATTTGGTTTACATTCACATGTGAGGATTAATGTTTTCAAACACTTCAAAGCATTACTTCACTCCTGAGGTCTTATCAGAGACAATAACACATCAGTTAGGTTTCCATGAACAGAGGGAGGCTTTCTCTCTTCTTCCCACCCAGGGGCCAAGGCTAAACCACAGACCATGTTCAAGGTTTCAGAACTCCAGATTTCACAGCAGAAACTCACATAATTAAGGACCAGCATTAGTTTATTTACAGCTGCTGCTTGAAATCAAGACAGAATAGAAATAAATGTCACACAGCTCTAAAAATGAAACCTAATTATTTTTTATGCTGTTGGGATAAAAGAATTATTCTTATTTCCATACATAAAGCTAACAGGCTCATCACTAAACAGAGCAATCACTGAATCCTAATTTAAAGATGGCCTGAGACATCATTCAGTTGTATCACACCTGGAAATATCATTAGGACAGCAAAACAGAAGCAAAATCATTAATGACTCCACAGTTATAACCATAGTACAGCCATCTCTTCATAATTTTCAGGCACTTACTAATAATAATTTTTGATATTTTGGTTATCCATGCCTCTCCAAAATTAGTTCGTATCTCAGACAAAACATTTAAAACCAAAATTTTAACTGGTTTAGAACCAAATTATCTGATTCCAAAATGTTTAGATAATTGTCTATTATCTCTTGTAGTTTTCATAAAAATTTATTCACTGAACTCGCCTCCAGCAGCAAAACTAGTTCACCAAGGTGTTCTCCAGAACCTTTCTGTGTGATTTATTCATATTATGCAGCTTCATTGATAAACACACATAGCAATGGTACCAAAAACTGATCACTTTTTAAAAGTGAGTACAAAACCTGCCACAACAGAAGACATTCTAGAAGGAAAGGCAAAGAGCACCATCATTGGCCTGTCTCCAGGGAATTGGTATGTCTGCCTATTTCTGCTGGAAGGCACAAAAACACCCACTTAAGGCACAGGCTCCACACACCTCTGATAAAATGAACCCTTCCCAGGCTTATTTGCTTTTCAGTTGTGCTCAGCTGCTCCAGTCAGAACCAGGCACACACCATGCTGAGTGCTGTGCCAAACCACACACAATGCTGTGGATGCTCAACAGAACTTTTAGGAAGCCTCTGTCAAAGACAAAGCACATTAACAGAGGGGAATAGAGGAGCACAAGGTGACACAAAGATTGCATTTCAAGGGAGCCCATTTTAATGGAAGTTAAAGCAAACTAGCATCTCAAGGCATAGTAAAGGTAAGTGATGCTCAGCATTTTGCTGAGGCTTATATTGCTGCAGTGTTTTTTCTTCTCCCAGTGAAAACAATCAGTATCACCAGGTTTTCTCCTGAAACGGGGCAGGGAAGGACTGCTGGCATTTGCGTCACCAGGATCTGCTCACATTACTCGGTGACGAATCTCATTAAACAGCAGCACCTCAAGCAAAGAGTCTACAGCTCAGTTTGTTTGCATTTACCTTTAGCAACATGGCATGCTTCATTAAATTTTGAAGCAGTGTTTATTAGAAGAGTAAAATGCATCAGCATCCACCACCAAGCTTCTCAGCTTATTTTTATGACGTCAATATTCAGGTTTATTTAATCCAGTGAAAATATACATTGATTGAACATGGTCTCAGAGTATCTCCTGCAGCACTGAAAAATGGAGTAAATAGGAATGGCATATTTTTACTGCTTTACTTCAGAAATAGATTTACCATCACCATAATAAATAAAAAAAAAAAAAAACCAAAAAAAAAAAAAACCTTTCCCAGTGGTGGGAAGGGCTGGCCACTAAAGAGTTCCCTGCTTCTTGATGCCAGGTACCTTCTGGTCTGTTTTCCTGCCCGGCAATGAATGCTGTTCTGTCAAAAGCTTTTCCATAAATTGAATCAAAAGTTACACTCAATTGTTATAACTCAATTTAAAATGCAATGCAGGATATAGGACTAACACTGGAGGTTTCTGTTGCACTACGTCCTTACAAGCTGAGTTTCATTAACAAGAGATTTCACTGTGTACTTCACCTGTGTAACCTCAACTTACAAAGCAGTTCAGGTTTTCCTTGCCTCTCTCAAAATTCATTAAAAAGTCTTACTTGAGCTGAGATGTTGTACACAAGTTCTCTGCCAAGAACGAATTTTTACAACTTAGTTTTAAGCTCCTTTAAAAAAAAAATCCAGAAATTTATAATGGAAACACTGACAGTGCCCATAATCACAAGTACAGAAACTTTATTGCAATAGGTAGTTTGCATTCCATCCAAAAAGAAAGAAAAGTTCGCCTCTCAACCAAATTCCACACACATTCTGTAACAATGGCCAATTATGAGATCAGTAAAAACAGGTGCAAATTAAAAATACTGGGGGTTTAAACACTGATGATGGCAGCATAAAGCCATCACCTTGGTCATTAAACTCTGATTGTGCAAGAGGTGGTTTTTTTTTAGAAAGTCTTGAATTACTTTATAACTCACCTCTCCTGGGCAAACTCTTCTAGTGATCATCACAGGCTAACTTGGCAAGTCTTTGAATCATGCTTCCAAGTCCTAGCAGCTTGGCCATTCCCAGTTATTAGTAATAGAGGATTTATATTCAGTTTTGTCAGTTATGTCTCTTGGTTTAGCCTGATGAAGCCCACCACTACACATGTGCAGCTCAGTCACACAACAGCCAGATATTCCCAGTGACACACTCTACCCTAGAGCTTATCCTAAGTTCTCCCCTCTGCCTCAGCACACCTTCTGTGTGCAGTAGGAAATGGATGGCTGCACACTGCAGCAAACTGCATCTCTCAGGCTATGTAAAAGCAGTGATGAGCTTCCTACATCATGCCCAGAAGAGTTAGTTGTACCTCAAACAGAAAGCATCAGGATTCATCTTTAGCAATACATTCTTCTCAACATTCTGAACACGCTTCCAATTCTCTTAAACATGCAGCAAAGACTGAAACACAAAATGCAGAAATACAAGAAAAAGTATGCACTTGGTTACATTAAAAAGGGATAAAGCCAAGGTGCACGTGGAAAAGCAGAACAGCATCAAGTGTTAAGCCCATTCGACACTCTTACAAAATAAATCTGAGAATCACAAAATTCAGAAACACAGCTCAAAAACATGTGACTGTGAACTAGCTTTGACACCTGCTTATGTCATTAATAAAATATTTAACATATGAAAAACACTGGGTTTTCAAAAGTGCCTTAACCAGCGACGAAATGCGTTAGTCATCCAAGAAGAACTCTCACTTGAGCACTGGAAATTACAGAACAAGGAAATCAAACCAAATCTTTACAAGGAAGCCAGCTCAGATGCTAAATCTGGATTGTGCAACCTGAAAACATTCATTACCAACAATGACAGATTGCTAGTCCTTTTAACCAGAAAGGAAAAGGCTATCTCTCCCCTGCAGTACATTGTGTAGAGTTACTGGATCTGAGACAGGCAGCTACACTGGGCTTTCAGTATGTTCATTAAGCAAGCCCAGGAAATTCAAAGCTGCTTCACACAGATCAAATGAACTCAAAGCAATCTTCACTTGTTCAGTCTTTCCCACTGGGTAAAAGTAAGAGATGACATTTAATAATTTTTCTTACCTAGAAGTAGTTATTTAAATAATATTTACGAAGTTAAACTGTAATACAGTAAATGTGTTAATGATAAAGTGTTTAAGCAATTTGACAAAAGGAAGAAAGCACCCAGCAAAACAGGCAGGTTCCAAAAAACGACGGAAGTAAATTTATGTTCATTACAACTATTTAGATATAAATTAAATAAGTTGATTCCATAACAACTTTTCCCATGTAATTTAAAAGATTTTCAGAAGTATATTCTTAAATGCCGCAAGTGACAGCACTAGATCTCAGTTTCACTTCATCTCAAGGAAGTTTGGAAAGCAGCCCCTGGAAACAGTGCTGCTGCTCTGCAACTCACCAATGAGTTCATGTTTATCTTGTTAAGCAAGAAAAAATTAGCCCTTTCATATACACATATTTTTAAGATATTAGGATTTTCTTCACAGCTTCAAGTTAGGCACTGAAGTACTTTGTTATGATTAGTTTTATCACATTGAATCCAAATGCTCTGACTACCGACCAACTCTTCTGACAGGTCTCCAATAATGAAACACACCATACAGCCTACACTGACTCACCATTCATCTTAGCTGATAAAACAGAAGACGGGCAAAATCTCAGAGCCTACCCACACAGTCCACAGCTTTAGGAAACCACTTTCATTTGCTTTCTCACCAACAAAAACAGTTTATTTGTCAGCTTTAACATGGCAAACTTCACACTTGCCTGCTCCCATCCTGCCCATCAATGACAGGTAGCATGTCTAAGACTATCAGTACCAAAACCATCTACATTGTCTTAAGAGCTAAGGACACATGAAAAGCAAGTTAATGCCCTCTCAAGTAAAACATTAAGTCTGTCACTTCCTTGTTTCTTAAAACCTCCTTGAATTTCCTGCCTCGTTTTTAAATACCTGTTGACCCTTGAAGCTAATTTGTTGGTTTACTATGTACCCTGCTATAGCTGTGCCAAAACAGCATTATCAGGAAAAGAAAACACGCAGCAGTTTGTTCTCAGGCTGCTGAGGATCTAAATTGAAATCCCCACTGCTCCATTTGGGACCCAAGTTACCACTTCTACCTCCACGGTTTGGCCACACTGGACCTTGGCACGAGGGACGGAGGGTGTGCAGAGGCAAAGTAAATGAAGGAAGTCACAGAGGGGCAGAGATTGGCAGTTTGAAGGTCGAAACATGCACTCCCACCTCAGTCTATCCATCCTCACCCCCAGACCGTGGAGTAAAGTGTTTTATAACACCTACTGCAATTACACAGCACTGGGTGAAGTCAAATGACATGAGGAAGTTACACATAAGGCATTGGGAGCATTTCTTGTGCTTAAGCAACTCTAAGAAGCTGGGGGAATACTTGCTCCATCCCTGGAACACCCCCTTCCAGACATCAGCTTTTACAGTCTCTGATCCAAAACAAATGAAAAGGGACACAAGGTACACAGAATCATCCGGTGATAAGCGGTCATTCACAGCGAAACAATTGAACGGAAGGATTTGTCCTGTTAAACACACAACAGGTTATCCATAACCCACCAGTTCACACCAAGGCTTCCAGCTCCAGGGAGGGACTGGATCCCCCCCCACAACAATCACCTGTGCTGCCAGCCATGAGCTGACACAGCCAGGCACCTCCTGCTGCACCAAAAGCATCCTTCCCCTAAGGATTCAAAGATTGAAACCCTCCCAGAGAGGCTTCTGCAGAACAAAGGCTACCAGCAACACAAACTTCACACCAAGTGCATGATCAAACCTGCTTCCTTGTAAAATATTAACAGCACTCCACCAAAATAAAATGAAGCAAGTTCTTAACTAATAACTTCCTTTCTAATTTGACCACACTGTAAAGTTGCCTTAAAACCTCCCACAAGTTATTTCACTGCACCTTGCAGAGTCTTTGGAGTACAATTAAAATCTTCCACCCAAGCTCTGGGTTTGAATGGTTTTCATAATTTCTTAACAGATTACTTTATTTGCCTAGCACAATCCATACACCCCCAAGTCTAGGCTTGTTAAAAATAAAGCCAATACTTCAAAAACTGGATAAAAACTAGTTTCACTTCTTACACCATTCAACTGTGTACCTCTTATTTTATTCTCTCATCATGACTTTATGAGTTGCTCCCACCAAATTACACTGAAAAATGACTGCAAATGACACTGAAGAAAGCTATGAATTTGTAATTGAAAGATGCAACTCAGACACTTAACAGCTTCAAAACTACAAGAATATTCAACAGTGAGTCAGGATCCATGAGCCCTAGAAGCACTGGGACCTGACCTAAAAGAAAAAGAGAAAGCTGCTATGGTGCTTTGAATTCAGAGGTTAAGGTAAATTAGTACATAAAACAATCTCACTATAGAAATTTTCTCACCTGTATATTTGCAACAAATCATATAAAAC